TCTCTGACCTTCCCCTGCTCACGCTGTCTCTCTCTCTCCTAGAAATAAATAAAACATTAAAAAAAAAAAAAGAAGAAGAAAAAGATAAGCCCTCGGCTAAGTGGTACCAGTGCCATAAGAATGGTTGCCCATCTTAGAGGGAGTGATTGAAGCATAGGGCAGGGGAAGGTGCTTGCTTGTGCTCCATACTAACTATGAGAGAGAGCTGGGCCAAGGAACAGAAACTGATGGAATAGATGTCTCAAGTAAAGGAGCAACGATTAAGAGATTTTAATAAAAAGAGACAGGAAAGAATAGTAGTACTTTGAGATATTATGAACATTACTGAGGCCAAAAAAAAAAAACCTTCAAAAAATAGAGGTGAATTCTATATATTGCAAACTAAAAATTTATTAAGCAAATGAAAATATATACCAAATTTGATTTCTCATTTGTGGTATGAGGATACCAGCCTTATGGGGTTTTTAAGAGAATTAAATAGGATGATGAATGCTAAAGTCCTGTTAACATAGTGCCTGGCACATTGTAGGGGATCATTATATTTAACCCATTGTTATTGTTGGCATAATTTGCTCTTTTGGAAGAGTGGTAGGAGAAGGAAATGCTTTATGTACTTTCTTATGCCAAAGGCTAAGCTGTACCTAGAATTGATTTTTGCTGCTTATAAGACAAAGCAGCTCTGTTCTTAATTGGAAATTGTTTCTCTAGGCTTCATTCCCTCTCTCCCTGTTCACATATTTTCCCAGAACAGTCATTTGACTTTTTTACCAGTACAGCTATTTTAATTACCTCTAATTCCCTCTTTGCCCAAAGGTTTGTGTGTCCATTGCAAGATGGCATGGTTATCCCTACACCAACTTTTCTGTCTTAGCTGTTCCACTGTTATCGCACATCAGCCTGACCCAACTCCTAGGGTCACCCATCCACCCTGCATGAATTAACTCCATCGATGTTGTCTGCTCCCATTGTAGCTAATGGCACTGACTCAGCCTTCCATGTGCTTGCTGCTAAGCCAGCCCAAACTGCTCTAGCACCCGTAGCAATGCCTGTGCGTGAAACCAACCCTTGGGCCCATGCCCCTGATGCTGCTAACAAGGGAATTGCAGCCACACATTCGGGTAAGGTGGCCATGGATGGTGGTGAGGATGCTGGGATCAGATAAGTGACGCCGATTCAGAAATCAGCCGTTCTCAAGTGGGAACCAGGGAGGAATCCTTTGAGGAAAAGTGTGTTCCCTCCTGGAAATAAACTATTAGGAAAGATGGTGAAGGAGAGGAACTCAAGAGATTAGACTGATAGTTCCTAGGACTACAGAACAGAACAGAGCTTTCATAAAATATAGATTCCTGGGCCCTACCCTGAGTTGACCACTAGATTTGGAGATAAATGGATATGCCCATAATAAGGGGAGGTAGGTGGGGACCTTGCCTCTTACAATGGCAGGCCTACAGAAAGTGCTTTATTTTTTGCTTTGCTTTACTTTCTAGTTTTTCTGTAATGAACATTTGTTAATTATAAAATCAAAACAAATTTTAATAGTAATAAAGGCAGTGCACCTAAAAGATAATGTTTCTTGAAGCAAGACATGGGCCACAAGGTACAGCACCAAGTCACTCGTTATTTTCTTTTTATTTTATTTATTCTAAAGGTGAATCACCTTAGGCCCTTTAGAGCATGTGCAGACCAGTTTCAGTACCATGGAGGAGTCACAGCAATAGGAAGGGGTTTCTGATGCCAGCCAGCTGCCTTCGTTCCATGGGTGTGAGCTCTATCTAGGCAGCTCCTCAGTGTGGCTGAGATAGCAGCATGGTCTGACAGGTTTCCTTTGTCCTAAAGCAAAACCTCCTCAGCTGGTAATAAAGACTTTTCTCACACCTGCCAGAACTACAAAGTATTCCATTAGGGACACTTGTTCCACATGTTAGGATCATTCAGGTACCAAGGTTATCAGGTAAGGAAAGAAGCCTCTAATGATTCTGATTCTTTTGTCTCTCTCCATCTCTTTGGTTTCAGGAACCGAGTGGGGTCAGTCTTCTGGTGCTGCATCTCCAGGTCTCTTCCAGGCTGGTCACAGACGCACTCCCTCTGAGGCTGACCGCTGGTTAGAAGAGGTGTCCAAGAGTGTGCGGGCACAGCAGCCCCAGGCCTCAGCTGCCTCTCTGCAGCCAGTTCTCCAGCCTCCTCCACCCACTGCCATCACCCAGCCAGCGCCGCCTTTCCAAGGGAATGCATTCCTCACCTCTCAGCCCGTACCAGTGGGTGTGGTTCCACCCCTGCCGCCAGCCTTTGTCCCTGCCCAGTCCTATCCTGTGGCCAATGGGATGACCTATCCAGCCCCTAATGTGCCTGTGGTGGGCATCACTCCCTCCCAGATGGTAGCCAATGTGTTTGGCACCGCAGGCCACCCTCAGGCTGCCCACCCCCATCAGTCTCCCAGCCTGGTCAAGCAGCAGACATTCCCTCAGTGTGAGACAAGCAGTGCTACTGCCAGTCCCTTCTTTAAGCCTCCTGCTCAGCACCTCAACGGTTCTGCAGCTTTCAATGGTGTAGACGATGGCAGGTTGGCCTCAGGAGATAAGCACACAGAGGTTCCTGCAGGGACCTGCCCGGTGGATCCTTTCGAAGCCCAATGGGCTGCATTAGAAAGCAAGTCCAAGCAGCGTACTAACCCCTCTCCCACCAACCCTTTCTCCAGTGACTTACAGAAGACATTTGAAATTGAACTTTAAGTAGTCTCTATGGCTTATGTATGTCCATACTTACAGGCAAGGGCAGGGGCAGAGGTCAAAGAAGTAAAAGGAACTTTGTGTTCCCAGTCAGTATACTTTTCACTAATCCCAAGGGTCCTAAAGAGCATGTCCAAGTACAGAGTGCTATGAGAGGTGATTTTGGAAAAAAATGGAAGAAACATTCCTAGAGAAGAGTTGTCTTGCAGTTAGGCTAAAGAAGTCAAGGAAATGTTGCCCTCTGTCCCCCTCCTCCTCCCTCAGCCCCTTAAAAATCTCTGGCAACAGAGAGGCAGAAGTATCTCAACAGGAATCTGTATTCAAAGCACATTTACTGGAATATAAAACACAACAGGAAGCAGAACAATCTCCCTTCACTTTTCAGGCCATTCACCTGTCGCCTCTCAGTACTGGCCTGTCTTAGAGATCAAAAACATGGTGGCCTGTGCTTGGGCTGGGGACGAGAGGCAGGCTCTGCTGCCAGAATTCCCAGGGCACAGCAGCTGCCCAACAGAGCTATATTTTAGGGGTAAAGTTGAGCTTCCATTTTGGGTAAGAATAAATATTATAAATATATATCAAAAAAGCCAAAATCTTTATTTTTATGCATTTAGAATATTTTAAATAGTTCTCAATATTAAAAAGTTGTATGAGTTGTAAGTAATCTTGCCAAAGGTAAAAGGGTTAGCTGTAAGAAATTGTACATAAGATTGATTTATCAGTGATGCCTATTGACGTGGGGAGAGGAAAGGTCGGGAGTTGCAGATGGGATCCCTAGCTTACCTGGTATCATTCATTGTAAGTAGCACCTTGCAGCCACAATCATGCGTATGACCAATACAGTCCCTAGGTGGTAGTTTTAAAGAAAATGAAAGAGCAGTATTCTCCTGGTTTTAAACCTGTGATGAAATTCTAATGTAATTTTAATGGAATCAGTCTGAATACACTCTACAGAGACTATGTATTTTCTTTTATATACTGCTGCAGTTTCCTTATGTTAATCCTCTACTTTTGTTTTAACACTAAGGTGACAATGACTTAATCATATCCATGGACGGGAGCACAGGTTACTGTGTTGGTTTGTCATGTGGGTGTTGAGTTTTGTTTTGTCCTTTAGGTTTGGTCCCCACAAGCCTTGTGGGGATGGAGATTCTGGTTTAATAGCTGTGTGTGAGTCGGTCCCCCAACTTGTGGAGAGAACATCCCGTTGCCAGTTGTAGCCACTTGACCTCTGGTAACGATGTGAGATCCCATCTCATTTTTACTTTTGAACGTTGGCCTTACAATCAAATGTAAGTTATATATATTTGTACTGATGAGAATTTATAATCTGCTTTAACAAAAATAAATGTTCGTGGTAGAAGCTTTTGCCCCTGAAGGGCTGGTCTTTCCCCTTTTCTTTATTAGTAAATGTGTTTTAGTTCTTTTTGGTCTGTTCTTGCTCCATTCTGCTGCTACTGAACTCCAGTTTGATGGCTAGAAAACCTTGTATTGGGACTGGTATTTTTTTTTTATTGAAATATAATTTGCATATATTGATCTGATAATTCTATACATTATGCAGTGCTCATAAGTGTGGTCACCATGTCACCGTACATGTTATTACAGTATTATTGACTATGTTCTCTATGCTAAACTTTTCATCTCTGTGACTTCTAACTGGAAGATTGTACCTCTTAGTCCCCTTTATTATGCCCATCAGGATTAGGCTACTCTTAAAATTCACATTTGTAGTTATACTTTAGGCTTTGGTTGGTCCTAAGCATATCCTTGATGTCAGATCCTTACTGCTTAAAGTGTGGTCTGGAACAAGAGCATAGACTTCACCTAGGAGTGGAGTAAAGATACAGAATCTCAGCCCCACCCCTGACCCGCCCCAACCTAGTAATCAGAATCTGCATTGGAACAAGATTTACGTTCTGAGAAGGCCTTGGCTGAAGCAGTGAGTTCTCAGCCCTGGATACATATTAGAATCACCTGGGAAGCTTTTAAAGTCTTCATGCCAGCCCAGTTGCTCCAGACTCCAGAGCAGTTAAAGTGGGGAGGGGGCAGGTGAGGACCCACATTCAGGTATTTTTTTATATATATTTATTTTTGAGAGAGAGTAAGTGGGCAAGGGGCAGAGAGAGAGGGAGACACAGAGTCTGAACCAGGTTCTAGGCTCTGAGCTGTCAGCACAGAGCCTGATGAGGGGCTTGAACCTACAAGCCATGAGATCATGACCTGAGCCAAAGCAGGACACCTAACTAACTGAGACACCCAGGCGCCCCTCAGTCTTTTTGTTGTTTTTTTTTAAAGAAAAAGCTCCCAGTATGGAAGAGGGTTGAGAACCACTGGTCTAGATTGAGTTTTACTCTTTCCCCTAACCTTGGCCCACTATCCTGTGACTAGTTTAAGTAGAGCTAGCTAACCTCAGACTTACCTTCTAAATTATGTTGCCAGTTGGCAACTAAGGAATTGGGGAGTCCAAGAAAATAGCCCTTAGTTTCCAGTTTGTATAGCAAAACCAAGCATGGTAAATGAAAGGGGATGCTCCTCTGTATTTTTCAAATGGAAAGAAAAAAAATACCTCTCCCCCTAACCCATGTTTCCTGTGTTAAATGAGAGGTAGACCAAGAAGTATCGCTCACCCGTGATGCAGTTTCTCTTTTCCAGCCAGTGTGTTGGTCATAAAAATCAGCTTTCCCTATAACGCCTGTCTTTCCTGTGTCCCAGAATAGCCTGTTGCTTAGGCCCAGCCAGTCCACTGGAGGATGTGTAGAAGGTTAAAGTAGAAAGGGACCTGGAAGCTCATTGAATCCAGGCCTCTTGTTCAGCAGCAAGGAACTGGAGGTTCTAAGAGATGGAGAAGGATTTCTTCCAACTGAAATCACTTCATTGTTAATACAATGCCTTCCCCTCCATTGGTCCCCTGTCCTGCTGATGCCTGTTTTCAATAGTCTGGTTTTTATCTGGCAGCAAACTGTTGCTTCACAGATCCCTGCTTGGGGAGAAGAGGCTCCCAGTTGGTCACCGTACAGAGCAGGTGTGTCAGCCTGATGCAGGTATGAGGCAGTCCTCACCACCAGGCTCTGCAGGTCAGTCTCAGGAGGAGGGCTTCAGGCGCCAGCTTCTGATGAAAGTAAGGAACTCCCCTGGCCCCATTCTGTCATGTTCACATAGTAACACAGCTTCTGCTCCTTCCTCCCACATCTTGTACTGAGCCTTTTACGTGTCATATTCCACTTTGGCAAGAGCCTTCACAACCATGCTGTTAACTGTGTATGCAGATGAGAGTTGAAGCTGGTTGCTACACTACCTGGAAGGGTGAGGTTGACTAGAGTAATGAACCACTGTTTGACTCTAGATGAGATGAGAGTTCTAGCAAAGAAAACTTGCCTGACACAGCAAGAGTTAGTGTGCCCGTGTGAGATAGGTGTTAACTTTGAACCCATTACATCTCTCCACCCAGCTTTATATGAAGTGAGAACCCTGGTAGCTTACTTTAGAACCCAGTGAATTGATCCTGTATAACAGAAATGATAGAGGGAAGCCATAAAGTAAAGGACATCCTTATCCAGACTCCTCTTGACTGCTGCCTGTGGTATTGGAAGCGAGGGGCGGGTGCTGGCCGTTTCTGAGGTGCAGCGCTGCAGGGCAGGGGGTGAGGAGGTCAGAGGCTGAGAGAGCCCATTCCCTAGAAGACCGCTCCCTTTGCCAGCCAGAGACTGCAGCCTAAGAGCTGCTTCGGGGCTGGGGCTGGAGCTAGCCTTCATCCTTGCTGCCAGACAGGCTGAGCGGGAGGCTGGGAGCGGGAGCAGCTAGCGCAGCAGAAGCTGGAGTAATACTCATTGCCACAGAGCTGGGCCTGCAGGATTAGATCACAGTTGGCCAGCTCGGGCTGATCGATACACTCCCTGCTGAGGTCCCTGGGCTGGGCGGCCAGTGCTGCAAGACAACCAGGGAGAGAGAGAGTGGTTAAGAGACCTGTGTCTGCTGAAAAGTCCCACCGACTCTTTCTTTGCCTTAAAGGAAAGCAGCACTAGAACTGCTAGATTCCCAAAAAGCACAGTTATTCTGGAACCTTTTAACGCCTGTGTGTACAGTGCCTCCCCGTGCCCTGGCGTGGGCCTCATGTAGGCACATAGTGCTGCTCTGGTTGTCCTGCAACCTCAGCCCAGTGCAGACTCCCAAATAGCGATGACCCGATAATTAAACCTCTTGAAGTTAACTCCTACCCTTGCAGTTGTGACCTGAGGAGCTGAATGACAGCTGCCGTAGACCCTGGACTGGGAAGGGAGTAGGATCAATCCTAAGTAAAATTCTGAGTTGGCAAGAGCTGTCCTGTCTCTCTCATTGCTGATTTAATGTTTTGTGCCTTTAGTAGCCCCAGTGTATGTCAGTCGCTTCATTCCCAATCTTCCCACTTACCTCCCCATTCTCCCCCCTCCCCCCGAGAGAGCAAGTATTAGGCAAAGTGATTAGAACAGCTTTGCAAGCTATGGCTCTGATACTGCACTGAGCACAAAAATTCTAGTTGCCACCCCCTGCCCCTAAATGTGCCAGGAGCTTCTGTGAGAAGGGCACCTGGCTGGCTTAGGAGTTTGAGCCTCACATTGGGCATAGAGATTATTTAAAAAAAAAAAAAAAAAAGAGTGCCTGGCTGGCTCATTTGGTACAGCATGCGACTCTCTATCCTGGAGTCGTGAGTTCCAGCCCCATGTTAGGCATGGAGATTACTTTAAAAATAAACAGGACTATTAAAACAAAAAACAAAAAAAAACATTAAAGAAAATCCCTGTTTTTCATTCTGCTTCCTCATAGGACTGATGTGGCCTTACCTAGTTAACCTCCCTTTCCCTTATGGAAGGGGCTCTTGGCTTAAGCCAGAGTGATACCTTCCCTAAAGTCAGACCTCATAGGCTTAATCTTTATCTTTCCCCTTGCTTCCTCCCAAAAATACAACTAAAAGACTATATCTGAGTAGTGAATGACTTTTGGTGTGTCAGTATAATGAAAGTACTAACAACAGCTAACCCTTGAACAACTTGGGTTTGAACTATGTGGGTCCAATGTGATTTTTTTTCACTAATTACTATATTATTTTCTTAACATTTTCTCTTTCTTTGTTGTAAGAATACAGTATATAATACATATAATACAGTATATAATACATATACAATGTGTTATCAGTAAGGCTTTGATCAACAGGCTTTTAGTAACATTTTTGGAGAGTCAAAGTTATATACCGATTTTTGACTGCACAGAGTGTTGGCACCCCAATCCCTGTGTTGCTCAAGCGTCAACTGTACCTACATTTACATAAATAGCAAGCCATTTGTGCATAGTGTTTTAAAAAATCTGTAACTTTGGTATCAACTTTCTCTGAGCTGTTGCAGCCCCAGGGCCTATCACAGGGCCCAGAGGTTAGGGGCCCAGCATGGTGGCTGAGCACACCCGCTCTGGAGCCAGAATGCCTGAGCACCTCCTGGCTCTCCTCTTCTCCAGGTGGGTGACTCTGGGCAAGTTACTTAAGCTCTCCACCTGTGTGTCCTCATCTGAAATGGAAATAGTAATAGCACCTTGGGCACACGGTAACCGTGGCTAAAATTTGAATGCTTAACTGTGTTTTGCCCCATAGCCTCTTTCCCTTTCTTTCAAAGAAGTGAGTGATGCTCTATGTTTTATCCTTACAGTGTTTTCTGTTTGTCACCCCAGTGTTTTAGGCAAGAAGGTTGAGAAGTCCTCAAAGGAAGTATGCCCCATACACCAGAGCAAGACTAGGTCAAGACCCCCTACCCTGATGCTAACATTAATTCCAGTATACGACCAGACCATAAATAGGGTAGAGTGAGGCATGAGGCAGCCTCATGCAATGAGACACTACAAAAAGCATAAATAGGTGAGAGCAGAAGTGTGCAGCCTAGTCAACAGAATGAATCCAAAGAGGCGAAGGACAGCTTCTAAGCCTGAAAGTTGCCCCCAAAATATCTAAGATTAGCAACACTCTTCCAGCAGAGCCCAGGAGCCTGACTCTGACCGTTCCTGTCCTGTCTGGGAGGCAGGTCATGCCCGACCATTTCACTTACAACCACACATCAGCACGAGCCCCACCAGACTTTGCCATCAAACGACTTTCTGGTTATAATTTGGCTTCTCCTGTAGACAGGTCTACAACTAATCGCAAACATGAACACTTGGCTCTTCTCATAGCTCTCTTTCTCACACAAACCTGCATCCTGGTCTATCTTGAGTCTTGTACAAATGTACAAGGTTGGTATGTAGTCAAGAGATCAGTATGCTGGGCTCAGTAGCAGTGAGAAATGGCCCCCGCAGTATAGTGTTTTTGCCAAGGTAATGCCTTCATGCACTCAGTCACTAAGCCTGAGCACCTACTAATGCCAGGCACTGAGCTGGGGGCCTGAGGACTCAAATCCCAGTGGCTGTCCTAAGGAGCTCACAAACCCGAAGCCTACTTCAGTCTTATCTGCCACAGACCTTCATCCTCTAGCACTGGCCAGTTCCCACCTTCAGCACGGCAGACAGGAGGCAGCCAGGCCCCAGAGCCCTTGCTGTGACAACACTCTTGGTGCAGTGCTGCAGCCCTGACACCTTACCCCCAAGCCTTTTTGAGGCCTCCTGAGAACTGGCTGCTCAGCCTGGGGCACTGCCCTGCTATTCAGGCAGTCAGTGAACCCAGACCAAGGACATGTGGAGGGCAGGCTGGGCACAGGGCTGAGCTTCCTCTCCCCGCTTCCCTCTGGCTCATTTGAATATGGAGCTCTTATGAATCCATCTCCTCAATTCTGAGATGCACTTATTTTCACACTTTAACAACTCTCAGATTAGACTGCATCTGAATTGATGGTCTCTTAGCACTGTTTCTTTAACAGCATGTTTTCCTTAGTGGTATGAAACTCTCTTATGATATGGTACTTAGGGTTCATTGGAATGTAACTCAGAGCAAGAGCTGGAGAATATAAAACTAAAATCTCAAACTACTGAATAATGCAGGTAAAATTCTGCCCAGTTACAGTGTGGTCGTTTAGGGAAAACAAATATGAGGACTAGGTTGTAGTTCCACGTTGGCCACTAACTTGCCGTGTGACTTGTGGAAGCATCACATAAGGTCTCTGGATATCTATCTAGTTTGTAAGATGACGATACTAGTCCTTGCCTTTCCCTTTCTGGGTTATATGGTCAAAGGGCCATGAAGCCACTTTTCAATCATAGGACGACTTTTTGCCACCCTAAGTAGAACGGACGGAATTAATGGTCTGTCTTAAGTGTTATATATCCTATTTCTCAAGATCAGTAAGTCTAAATGATACTTAATGTCATCTATTAAAGCTATTAGCAGATGCCCATTATCCGCACTATTTCCCTCATCCTCACTGCAGCCCTCCCGGGCGGTGGAATAGCCCTCTGTACATGTGAGGAGAGGGAGGCTCAGGAGAGTCCCTTGCCACAGGTGACACTACCAGGAACCGGCAGAGTAAGCCAGGACTCATATGAGAGTCGCTCAGACACGTGCAGCACAAAGCCGGCTCTCAGGACAAGTGAATCCCTGGGGTGGGCCTCTTACCCGGCGGGCCCACCTTCACCTCGGTGCTGCGGCTGACTGCCTGGCTTCCGCGGTAGGCACTGCACGTGTAGGAGCCCTCGTCTTTGGGCTGCAGGTTGTGGATCAGCAGTGTGCCATCTGGGGACTGGTGGACGCGATGCCCGTCAGCGCGCACCGGCAGCCCGTTCCTGGAAGGGAGAGGACACCGGGAGAGCCATCCACAGCCTCCAGGCTTGAGGCCCTAGGAGGCCATGCTGCCTCACCCAGTGCTTCAAGGCCCAGAGGCAAAGGGAGGAGGTAATCGTGGACAGAGGACCATCACTTCAAGAAAGAGATGGCCACGGTGCCAAAAAGAACACCATCGGAGCAAAATAACTCAAAAGTAGAGGGAACTCACTCCAACTGAGCACACTGGTCTAAGTTACTGTGAATTTGCCTCTTACCCACATGGGAAGCCCCGCTTTTTTTTTTTTTTTTTTTTTTATCAACACAGGCTTTCCAGCAGCTGTGCAGTGCTGGGCCCTGTGCTGGGCATGTGACACACGCGCTCCCTGCCTTGAAAGTACTAGGGTAGGGCACAGGTGTTTAGGGGCACCTTCCCTGAAGAAGACCGAGCTGAGACCTGACTTGAGGATGAGGAGGAGCAACTGGCCAGCAAACAGCAGGACCAGGGGACTCGGAAGCTGGAAGGCAGGCCCTGGTCAGAGCAGGGAGGGAAGTGGACACGGCCTCAACAGGCGTTTGGACTGGACCCTGGGGGGAGGGGAGGGGTGTGAGCTAAGCAGGACTGATAGAGCTTCTGCCCTTGAATGACTGGGGCTGGGCTAGGACAAGTGGCTCATGCAGAAGTGCGCATGTGGGTGAGGGGCAGATGTTCAAGGTGAAGGAGAAGCAATGAAGGACCGCAGAGGTTACCCAGGGTTGCTGGATAACTGTGGTGCCCCTCTACCATGGGGAGATCCAGGGCACAGAGATGAGTCAACAATGAATGCTCTTTTCCACCATTTGGCATTCTGCCCATGAGGCATGGGATTTGAGGTCTGGACCCAGATGGTCCATCAGCACTGGGTGGCCTTGAAACCACGTGTCAACAAGGTTGCCCAAGGTGAAGTTAGACAAGCCAAGGACTAAGGACAGACCCTGAGGTGCATCTGCCTCCGAGATATTGGTGTGGAAAGGTAAACCAGCCAGGAAAACAGAAGCAGCAGCCAGAGAAGGAAGAACACCAGAAGACACTAGTGTCCTGGAGCCAAGCGGAGGGAGCATGTCAGGAGGTAACAGATGGTCCGGAGAAGAACACCTCAGGTCATGTGGGGACTGAGATATGTCCAGAACATTTAGGAACAGGGCAGTATCCCTGGAGTGGTGCATGGATGTGAGCCCCTGGGCGAGGGCTGAGCTGTGAGCAAGGGTGAACAGGTGGAGACAACCAGTATAAACAGCTGCACTGTGAGGGGGAGACTCCAGATGAGGCCAAGCTCTGCAGGGAAACACAGGGTCAGAGGAGGGTATCTTTTACGTTACACTTTGAAAGCGGGAGGTCCTGAGCATGTCTGCTGCTGGTAAGATCAAGGAGAAGCAAAATTGAAGATAGAAGCCCAAAAGGATAGTCAGAGGCCCGACCTGATCAGGGCAGGCCTGCACCAAGAACAGCCTACAGAGGCTCCCTGCCTCCCTCCTGTGTGCAGTCCCCTTCCTATCCTGATATCGTCTCTCCAATTCTCACCTTTGACACTTGATCAAGAACATCCTTCCCCTCCTCAGCCGTTAAGGCTCAACCAAAGTCACCTCCATGGCCACCCCTTCCTTGATCCCCCCCAGATAGGAGTCAGCCTCAGTGCTCTGTGTATACATAGCACTGAGGGCAAACCTCTGGAACTCAGGGGACACTGGGCCATCTGCCTGGGGATTATCTGGGGTGCTCAGATTACCCCAAGATCCCCAGAGCCTAGGCTATTCCTGACACACTGCAAGGAGGAAGGGGCTAAAAGAGTTTACAGAAAAAATGAATGAATGAATGAATAAAAGAACAGCTGTCTGAAACAATACTGAAGTCCCCACAGCTGAGTATAGCCCAGTGGTTCTCAACCCTGGTGTCCAGACATTGTCAACTATCATGACTTGGGAGGAAGTGCTACTAGCATCCAGTGGGTCCATGGCCTGGATGCTACTGAAATCCTACAATAAACAGAACTGCCCCAACAACCAAAAATTACCAGGTCTGAAATGTCAGCAGTGCTGAGGTTGAGAGACCCTGGTGTAGCCCAGCCAACAGAAAGAGAGCAGTCCTGTGGGGCCCCACGGTGTAGGAAAGGGGGTGCCACAGCCAGGCCTGCAGGTAGGAGTTGAAGAATGAAGCCCGGGGCAGTGGTGACAGCAGTATCGCTGCAGAAAGGTGTCTTCTCCAAACTGTACAGCCTCTGAAGGCCAGGCCTGCCTGGAATAGAGCCTTACCTGGACCACCTAATGTTGACACTTTCTCCTGTCACCACGCACAACAGCCTGGCCGTGTCACCCTCTGGCACCAGCATAGCAGAGGGCAGCTCTGTGATGGCCAGCTCCCCTAAGCCAAGGAGGAGGCACGGTCAGCCACCACACCAGTCCTGCCCCACTTGTGTCACCCTCCCTCAGGATTGCCACCTCACCCAGAACTCTGAGCTGGACCCATCTCTGGTCTCGGTCCTGCCCGTTGAAAGCGACACAGGCGTAGAAGCCGCCATCTTCCACAGCCACGTGGTTGATGACCAGAGAGCCATCAGGCTGCAGCTCATGTCTAGGGACAAAGCACAGTCAGGTAGCTCCATTCCAGGGGGATCTTCCTTTCCTCGGTAAAGGTCTGAGTGGCCCCCTGAGCAAAGGGCCATCTAACCTTAGGCCTTAAGGCCCTCCAGCTGCTGGCTCTCTCGTTCACCTGAAGGTGCCTGACTTTTAGGACCATTTCAAGTCTCCAAATACAAAATAATTCTGATTCTGGTTTGGGTTTCTAGTCCTTGCTCTACTCATTCAGTAGACTCAAATCTTGGTCCTGCCACTTAGGAGCTGTGTGGCATGTTAAGCTCCTGTGCGTAAAATGGGGATAAAATAGCACCTACCTCAACGTGGCTCTTCTGAAGATTGTATGATAGAGAACAAGTCTCATTCTCATAATGGGCACGATACATGTTAGCTGTTACGGTTACAGCCAGAAATGGGTCTGCCTCCATTTTGTCCCTCGGCCATCACCTCTCCTTAGCTGGCCTGTTACTTCTGTCCACTAACCACAGTGGAAAGACCCAGAGACCCAAATGTTGGTCTGCCCAAGGAGCCCTACCCCCAGCAGTATCATCTCTCAAGAGCCCTGGAGTCCTGCTCAGGACTGACCAGAGGTGGCACCTGGCGGCTCCCTCCCCTGAGGCCTGTACAGGGTCAGGGGCTTAAGGTGGGACAGGAAAGGAAGAGAGGAGCTGAACAAACCTGGGGGAAGAGAGAGGCTGCCCATCTCTTTGCCACTCAATGGCTGGCGGTGGGAAGCCCTCAGCACGACAGGTCAACCAGATCTGCTGGCCTGGATGGGCATCCACGACCCTAGGCTGGTTCCTGTCCAGAAGCAGTCTGCAGAACAAGCACCCCACAGCCATGAGAGGGGGACTCTGTCTCACAAGCCCCTGGCCCCCTTCTCCCTCTCCAGCCACATTCAGCTTCCTAAGAGAGCTGCTCTGTGCTGGTCCAGACGCCACCCATAATCACCTGGGGCAGTCTAAAAGACACCTCCAGCTTTGTCACCTTCCCCACCCCCAACCACCAACTCAGCATCTTGACTGTGCCCTCCCCGCCCTGCACATCTGTTTCGACACCTGCTTTGAGATCTTGCACATCTGCCCTGCACAAGACTCTGACTTGGGCCCCTCCAGCCCTCTGCAACCCCTCTGAACTCCCATCAAGGCCATCTCAGGCTCTCCAGCTCCTGCTGTGCGTCCCTTCCCTCAGCTCCTGTGTCCTGGGCCATGAGTCAGTCCCAACTGTTTGGGGAAGGGAAGAGGGCTCCTCTTCCTCCTCTCTAGTCCTCGCCCAGCAGAGCCCTGTGACCACCCACCACTCTCCCTTCCTTTCACCACTGAGACCCCCCATGGGCCCGGGCCCTCCGGTGGGGTAGGCTGAGGGCAGGATGGCATTGCTGCACTGTTACCTGGTCGTGGGCCGAATCTGCAAGGAGGAGACAGCCCCCAGGCCCCCCGCGTTCCCCACTAGGCTGGAGTCCCGAGGACTGTGGCCCTGGGCTGGGTCCCTGGTCTGAGGGAAGTGCCTTGGCTCAGCCTCAGACAGCACGGCCACGTCACCCCCTGTCATGAGGCCAGGAGAAGGGGTGAGCTGTGGGGCGAATGTGGCAGAAGGAAGGGTGGGCCACAAGGCTGGCCAGGGACATGTGGAAAAATGAGGGTCACAAGGGGGAAGACCTCCACTTCAGCCCAACTGAAGCACATGGTCCCTGCCAGCAGGATGGCCCCCTCCAGTGTGGGGGCACCCTGGCTCAGGCCCTCCCAGCCAGCGCCTCCCACCTGGGGCCATGACAACCCGCTGGGCGTGGGGTGGGGACGGAGACCTGTGACACGAAGCTGGATCCTCTGAGAGTCACGGCCTGACCTGCTGCTGCCACAGCTGTAGGTGCCAGCATCCTCTGCCCGCAGGGGACTGATGACCAGGGAGCCATCAGGCTGCAGCTTGTGCCTGAATGAGGAGAACAGTGAGCCCAGACCCCCCTCAGGCCCCAGTGCTCCTACCAGAGGGAGCTATAACCCTGTCTGCACCCTCCCATCCCAGGGGAGATCACCTGTCAGAGAAGACGGGCCGCCCATCTTTCTGCCACCTGGCATGGGGCTCCGGGGAGGTGTCATCTCGGCAGAAGAGCCGCACCAAGTGCCCCAGGGCCGCTTGCACCAAGGCGGGCTCCGAGCCTGCCAAGCTGATCCTGGGAAGTGGGGGTGAGGACCTGCACTAACAGCATGAGCGCCAGGACCAGGGACTCTCTTCATTGGTGTCCAACCACAGAGAGCTCAGCGCCCATCCAGCCTCAGGCACTTTTGGTGTCAGAGGGTCCCCCGGGAGGCCCAGCTTCAGAGCCTGCAGCCTCAGGAATTCACTCCCCCACCCTAGTGCCCCACCATGTCCTCAGACGTAGCTACCTCAAAACCACTAACCCACTGCTCGATCCCTTTGGAATTTTCAAGTTTTATCTATCTGTTTATACTCTCCCCCAAACTCTCATTAATAGGACACAGTCCCAAGACCGTGTGGAACCCACACTACATTTAAGAGAGACTATCACCATCTTGCAGGTCAAGAAACTGAGGCTTGGAGAAGTTGGATGACTTGCCAAAGGTCATGAAGCCTGCAAGCTTTTCCAACTAGACAGGCCCCGGGGTGTCTTGGCAAGATCTGACCAGGAATCTAGGCACCCACCATCTATTGGCGAAGGCCCTCCAGTCACGACCGTTTGGAGAATTTGAGGTTAGGGGTGGGAAGGGAGGACCTACGGAACTCAGGGTTTGAGCTCCAATGGGCGCAGCCTGGGGCCCAGGTCCCTAGCCCCCCACCTGGGGAAGGCAGGCCTCACCTGTAGGAAGAGCTGTGGGAGGGTGGCGCTGGCCTCCTGGCATCTCCACCCAGTCCAGGGGCACTGGGCCCAAGCTCCCGGCCCTGGGGCCTCTCTCCAAAGGCCCAGGTGTGGCCCTCCTCTCCAGGCCCAGGCTCTCCATCTCGCCACCAGAGGCCACCAGAAGGCAAAGGCTTCGTCTGGACTGTGGCCCCCATCCTGTGCCAGCCCGCCTCTTGCTGGCCTCCAGGACGGCTGCCACCACCGTCTCCATGGGTGCTCTGGCCAGAGGCCCCGGGCTTGGGGCTGCGGGGCTCCTGCTGAGGTCCCCGGCAGCTGCTCACACACTCCTCTTCGGAGGCAAAGTTATTGCCATTGCCGTGGCACCCACCATACCAAAAGCGGTTACACTGGCCCACTGAGGGGATGAAGTACCAGCGGGCAGCCCAGTCCGTGCAGGAGCCGTGGGCACTGGGCAGCAGGCACCTAACAGGGTACGCTGAGGGGACAGGGAGGGTGCAGGTCATCAGGCTGCAGACGCTGCTCCAGCAGAGCTCTGCTAAGGAGTGTCCACCACCCCCTAAGCCTCAGATGTGGGAGCAAGGCCCTTCCCAGTTCGTGGAGCAGGTCCACACCCCTGACCTGGCCCTGGGGACAGAGTCTGCTCACTGCCCAGACCTACCTGGGCTGGGATCACAGCAGCCTTCGGGAGCAGCCCATCCACCTCCACCCACAGCACTAGAGTGCTCCAGAAGGTCAGGGCCATGAGCAACCTGGACTGGTTCCCCATGCCCCTCCCGATGCCTGACCCAGGTCCCTAGAGTACACACACGCATGGAGCACACCAAGTGCTGGGTTTGTTTGTGTTTGTTTCATGTGCTTAGCTCACGATATGAACCCAGCCCTCAGCCCCCAGGCACATCTATGAAGGTGCCCAACCTCTGAACCCACCTCCAGCCCCCAGCCAGCCTGTTCTAACAGCCTGTCTTCCCAGGACAGCTTGCTCTGCCTCTCTACAGACACAGAGGTGACTGCGGCCAGCCCCTGCTTAAAGCCCATCCAGGGACCAGCCTCCTGCAGACCCTGACTACCAGTCCATCTGGCTGTTGAGGTCCCCATGGTGGTCCCTTCCAGTGCCACCCAGGTATCCCATGCCCCAGCCTCAATGACCTCCAGGTCTCATCCCAGGCAGGGTGGGGACATCCCTGTCCATCTGGGCTCTGACCACCCTATAACATCTCTGCCTCTGGAGGGGGCTCAGCCCCCATGGTAGGGATGGGGGGGGCAGGGGGACGGGACAAGCCTTCCTTGTCTGCGGGGGCGCTGCCTACAACTCTCCCCAACTCCCACAAGTTGGGGAGTCAGATGGTTTCAAATGCAAACTGTTAGGAACAAGAACAATATGGCACTGTTCTCTGACCTGGCACCTAGTAGGTGGTCAGTAAATATTTGTCAAAGAAAAGAATGAATAACTGAGCTAGTAGGAAGATCTGGGTGGGGCTCTGTGGTGGTTAAGGGGGACAAAATGGTACCAGAGCCTACTCACCAGGAAGGATGTAAGGGCATCCACTCACCATAGCTGGGCTTGCCTGCACAGCCTTCCCCAAGAGGGCCAGCAGCAGAGGCCACATTGTCAAAGCAACAGCCAAACTGGGAGGCCCGGCACTCACTGGGCTCATTCTGTTGAGCCTGGGGTTGGTGGGCCTTGGGGGCCTGTGGAGGAAGCCCAGAGTTGGGACATTGGGAATAGGTCTGCCTCTTGGTAGGGACTCTAGGCTACCTGGGGGAGGACAGGAAGAGGGAGGGGCAGAATTAGGAGCCTATGATGCAGAACCCCAGCCCCAGGGCAAGGCCAGACGAACCCCCCTGCATGCACACCCCCCCACTCCAGCCTAGGCCCATATCTGAAGCCCTGTGAGCCAGCAGGCTTCAGGGACCTCCTTTCGCTGAAGCCCAAGTTGCAGAGAGTCTGGATCACAGTGGCACTGAGCAGGCACGGGACTCCTGCCCCCTCATATAAACCAGACACTTACCGTGGAAGCCACTGCTCTGGACACTGGCCTTCTGCCAGTCTTGTCACTGCTGTAAGATTCTGCACAGCCAGCCTGATGGGGCCCCTCAGCCGCAGACAACCCATCAGGGCAGCACCCGTACCTAAACAAGCATCACACACCGGTCTCATCACCACCTAACCCCTGATCCCCACCCTCACGGGACCCCCAAGCTTCCAGCATCCCGGAAACCCAGCTCTGAGACTCCCTGCACTGGCGGCTGAGCAGTTGAGGATCCGAGCGGAAGACACTATGTCCCTGCACATGGGGCACACCATTCTGAGTGCCAAGCCACGTCCACCAACCACTCAGTGGCTGCCAGGGAGGCAGCACGATAAGCAGAGCCCTATTCCTGATACCTGACAGATCCTCAATGCCTACCCGAGGCGCAAACTCCTAACCCACGAGGAAATTTACTAAGCCTGCACAAATCTCGGCTTCCTGGGTAGGTTTTACAAAATCACAGCAGGTGGGGGGGTGGGGGGGAGCAGAAGAGGGAGCGGAGCCCACCTCCTGTTTCAGCTCAGTCAGTGAGAAGTAGGGAAAGAAGGTGAAAGAGGAACGTATCAGAGCACCTTCCGTGTGCCAGGCACCCTGGGACTGTTCCATCCTCACGGCAACGCTGGCCCACGGCTGTCACTTTTCCCAGTCTCAGCAAAGGAAGCCAAGATCAGAGGAATAACTTGCCTGATCACCCAGCACACAGCTGATAAGTGGCTGAGCTGGGAATCACCACCAGGCTGCTGGCCCCAAAGTCAGGTGCTCAGCACCCCAGCTCTAGAGAGACTGGTAGCCTGGTTTGGATCTGGAAGCTAGAATTCTATCCCACGTGCCTTCCCAGGGCCTCAGGCTACACCTCAACAGGCTGACTTCTGTAGCAAGAGCAGAAATTCTTACCCCACTCTGCACATTTGCAAGGTCAGTGACAGGAAGCAGAGTCCCCAAGACCGTACAATCAGAGCAGCTGGGAGAGAACACCTCGGGAGTCCCATCCCTGAGCTCTGCAAACCCTACCCCCTCTCTGCACAGAGCTGCCCTGCCCCCATCTCCCTTTGACTTGGTGAAGGGGAAGAGGCGCCTGCCTGCTCTGCTGACACCGGGCCCCAGAACAGCCCTGCCACTGCGGCCCAAGAGATGCGGTGTGGCCGTCAGGACAGCACCCATAGGGGCTGAGTCTGCAGTCGTGGGGAGCCAAGCCAGACTGCTGGGGCTGCCCATGTGGCGACTGCTGCAGAGAGGGGGCTGGGTCTGGCAGGTGGAGGCCCTGGGCTCCTCTGGGGTTTCCCTGGACTGAGGGCTGCTCCTGAGGGGCCCACCACCGGTCTCTGGAATCTAGAAAGAAGAGGAAGTAAAACACACATGAGGTGTCCTCCTGGCTGCTCATTCTCCATCTGTATCCACACCGGACCCACCTCACTTACCCCCCAACCCCCAACCTCCATCTCCAGAGGCCTGTGTTGGGGCTTCCACGGAGCTGCTCACCTGAGATAGGGGCTGCCTGAGGCCCCAAAGATATCCGAGGACCCCCTGGGCTGCTGTGCACGTCCTGCATGCTGGGGATGCCTGCAGGGAGCAGGCCGTCAGGCCGGTGCAGGGGCCAGGCTAACCACCACGTGCTCCCACCCCACTACTCAGGCAGCGCCTGGGCACCCAGGACAGCAGAAGCAAAAAGCAGCAGACCTGTAAGTTCATAAAACACCCTTCTCGTGTTTCAAGAGTCTTTAGTCACACAGAAAACGCTAATGTTAGCGTGTTCAGCAAAAAGAAATGCCAGATACAGAATTAGCATCAGTGTTTGATCCCAACTACGTAAAACAAAAAAATGATACTTTTAGATTGAACTGCTAAAAGACAAATAATCCAATTAAAAAATAGGCAAAGTGGGGCACCTGGCTGGCTCAGGTAGTAGAGTACCCAACTCTTGACCTCAGGGTTTTGAGTTCAAGCCCCAAGCTGGGTGTAGAGATTACTTTAAAATTTTAAAGGTGCGCCTAGGTGGCTCAGTCAGTTAAGCATCCTACTCTTGATCTTGGCTCAGGTCACCATCTCACAGTTCATGAGTTCAAACCCCACATCAGGCTTTGCGCTGATGGTGCAGAGCCTGCTTGGGATTTTGTCTTCCTCTCTGCCTTTCCCCGACTTGTGCGCTCACTTTCTCTCTCCAAATAAATAAACGTTTAAAAAAAAAAAAAAGAAAAAAATGTTTTAAACGGGCAAAGAACTTGAACAGACATTTCCCCAAAGAAAACATACAAGTAGGCAATAAGCACATGAAAAGATGTTCAACATCATCGGTCATTACGGAAATGCAAATCAAAGCCACAATGAGACACTCCTTCAAACCCTCTAGCACGGCTCTCATCAAAAAGGCTGAAATAAGAAGTGTCAGTGAGGACATGGGTGAACTGGAACCCTCAGGCCCTGCGGGTGGAAATGTAAATTGGTGCCGCCACCATGGAAACAGTTCGGTGATTCCTCCAAAAGTTAAACATAGAATTACCATAGAGCTCAGCACTTTCTCTGAGGCATGTACCCAAGAGAAATGAAAACACATGCCCACACGGAAACTTATGCATGAGCGTTTATAGTAGTCTTATTCGTTAAGGCCAAAAGGTGGACACAATCCAAATATACATCCACAGATGAATGAATAAGCAGATTGTGACATATCCATGGAATTGTTATCAACCATAGAAAAGATGACATGATGCGTGCTCCACCCTGGATAAGCCTCAAATACATTCTGCTGCGTGGGTGGTTCAGTCGATTAAGCAGCTGACTCTTGATTTCAGCTCAGGTCATTGTGATCTCACAGTCATGGGATAGAGCCCTACGTTGGGTGTAGAGCCCGCTTAAGATTCTCTCTCCCCCCCTCTTCGTGCCCCTCCCCCCCACTGCACTCTCTCTCTCAAAATAAAATTTTAAAATTGAAAAAAAAAAAAAAAAAACCAACATACTGCTGAGTGAAAGGTAGGCATGAAAGATGTAATATCCCTTTTATACAATATATCCGGAACAGGCAAATCCAGAGACAGAAAGCAGATCAGGTTACCCAGGAAGAAGTTAGGGTTAGTGGGGAGTGACTGCTTAAGGGGTACACAGTGTGCTCTTATGGATGATGAAATAATTGAAAACTAGAGGAGAGCGGGTGGTTGTAGAACCTTGTGAGCACACAACACCAAAGTGTACACTCTACAGTGGTTACCTGGATGTTATGTGAATTTCACCTTAATAAAAAAATTCTGTATTAAAAACACTTGTTTAAAAAACACAATTTGATAGATGAAGAGACAGGAGTAAATCATGAAAAAGCATATATAACAAAACAGTAATTATAGAATTTAAGTGCGGGTACATGGCTGCTTGCTATGCAGTTCTTCAACTATTCTGTATGTTTAAAATTCTTCATTAGCCTTCCTCAAAAAATTAAAAATAGGCACCTCAGTGGCTCAGTCCATTAAACATCCAACTTTGGCTCAAGTCGTGATCTCACAGTTCATGAGTTTGAGCCCCACACTGGGTTCTGTGCTGACAGCTCAGAGCCTGGAGCCTGCTTCAGATTCTGTCTCTCTCTCTCTCTCTCTCTCTCTGCCCCTCCCTTGCTCACACTCTGTCTCTCTTGCTCTCAAAAATAAAGATTAAAAAAAATTAAAAATAGAATTGCCACATGACCCAGTAATTCCACTACTATTTACCCAAAGAACACAAAAACACTAATCCAAAAAGACATATGTATCTCTATGTTTATGGCACCATTATTTACAATAGCCAAGATTTGGAAGCAACCTAAGTGTCCACTGACTGATGAATGGATAAAGAAGATTCCACATGCACAATGGAATATCATTCAGCCATAAAAAGAATGAAATCTTGCCATCTGCAACAACATGGATGGATCTAGAGAGTATAATGCTAAGCAAAATAAGAGAAAGACAAATACTCTAGAATTTTACTCCTATGTGGAATTTAAGAAACAAATGAAGGAAAAAGAGAAAGAAAAACTTTTAACCACAGACAACTGACAGCTGCCAGAGGGGAGGTGAGTGGTGAATGGGGGAAACAGGTAAAGGGACTAAGAGCACATTTACCACAATGAGCACTGAGTACAGAATTGTTGAACCGCAACGTGGTATCCTTGGAAATAATGTAACACCATATGTTAAATACACTGGAATTAAACAATAACCAGGCCTGTCTTCCCAGCATGGGGAATTGGAGTCAGGTCCGCTCAGAAATGTGAAACATTTTTTTTTACCATCTAATTGTCCAACTTGGTAAAACTTACAAAAATTATGAATTGTACCATTACAGTGAGAGAATTTTATGGTATATATTTAACCACCTCAGAGTTCTCAAAAAGATTTTTCGTCATAAAATGGAGAAAAACACAAAAGGCCAAGTATGAACAGGAATTTTTTTTTAAATGATGCATAACAGGACTCACCCCAAAACGCGCCTAGTGAAAGGTTCTGAGCTGTGCACTAGCGTGCGCGTGTTGGCGGGTTAGGGGTGGGGGACTTCCTTCTATTTGTCAGTGTGTTTCAAATTTTCCACAATAAGCATATTACCTCATAATGGAACAAAGTTATAAAAAGTAAGTGAAAATTTCATCTCCACATGGACTAGACCTGGCCAGCCCCCAGGGAATATTTAAAAAATAATTTAGGGTTGAAAGGCTCTAGCAGACACGCAGTAAAACCTTCGTTTTCATTTCATCTCCTCTCCCAACTAGGCCAAACCCTGGCGGAAGGCAGACTCCCACTCCCCCCAGTTCCGTCATCTCCTGTGGGCACCCCCAGGACCACAGGCACAGTCCCCAGCCAGCCCTCTGTTGGCTCAATCTGAAAGGCACCTTCCTGCCCAGCTCATCCTGCCCCGGCTCTTCCACCTTTCAGGCTTAACTCGGAGTCCGGGACCCCTTCCTGCGCACCATCTGGGCACCAGGCTCTGCTGGGCAAGTGGCTGGTCCTTCCTTTTCACGGCTCTTGTGAGCGCTTGCGTTTCTGCAGCCTTCTCCCCTCCAGGCTCCCGCTCCAATGGCCTCCACTTTAGACTGTCCTCCTAAAGTAGCTTTCATTGGCTCACTATCCAGTTGCAAAGCTTTCAGTGGCTCCCCTGGGCCTATTTAACAATTTTTTTTCCCCTAAGAGACAGAGACAGCATGAGCAGGGGAGGGTCAGAGAGAGAGGGAGACACAGAATCTGAAACAGCCTCCAGGCTCTGAGCTGGCTGTCAGCACAGAGCCCGGTGCGGGGCTCGAACCCACGAACCATGAGATCATGACTTGAGCTGAAGTCGACACCTAACTGACTGAGCCACCCAGGCGCCCCAGCCTATTTGACAAATTTAATTGCAGCCCTGGCCTGAGGCCCCTCTCCTGCCCCCACGGCCCTCCTGCCACCACCCCCACACCCGCACCCTGGCTGAGGGCTGGTCCTGGGGTCCTGCTGGCCTCTCAGAGCTACTGAGCACTTACAACATGACCACAGTGACCGAGAAACTGAGTTTACATTATTCTAATTAGAATTAATTTAAGTTTAAACTTAAAAACCGATGCTTGATTAACTTACTGGAAAATAATTCAGTATGTTTGGAATGACTTCGGTTAGCGAATCTACTTTTCCAACTATACGTTTTATGAAACCTAAATATAGATCAAGTATGCCAGTGAAATTTTAGCAACTGAATTAAGACATGCTGTGTGAGTGATACATGGAATTTAGAAGATCTTTTTTAATCTTGTGAAAAAAGAGAATGTAAAATATCCTATTCTTAATTTTTTATATTGCTTACATGTTAAAAATATTTAATTGTGCTAAATAAAACATTTAAAATTTATTTTAATATTTACTTTTGAGGGACAGAGGGTGCAACAGAGCACAAGCAGGGGAGGAGCAGAGAGAGAAAGGGAGACACAGAATCCAAAGCAGCCTCCAGGCTCTGAGCTAGCTGTCAGCACAGAGCCCAGCGCAGAGCTCAAATCCACGAACTGTGAGATCATGACCGAGCCAAAGTCAAAAGCTTAACTGACTGAGCCACCCAGGCACCCCCTAAACACTATTTAAATTAAGGAAAATTTTAAGTAATCTTTACACCCAACAACTTGGGGCTTGAACTCACCACCCTGAGATTGAGTCACATGCCCTACCAACAGAGCCAGCTAGGGCACCCTGAATAAAACATTATTTAATATAAATTCACTTATTTCTTTCTACTTTTTAAAGTTCACTTATTTTGAGAGAAAGAGAGAGCACGCAAGCACAAGTGGGGGAGGGGCAGAAAGAGAGTGAGAGACAGAGAGAATCCCGAGCAGGCTCTGCACTAGCAGCGCAGAGCCCAATGCGGGGCTCAAACTCATGAACTGTGGGATCATGACCTGAGCTGAGATCAACAGCCAGACGCCCAACCAACTGTGCCTCCCCCCGGCGCCCCTTCCTTCTACTTTTTAAATGTAATTCTCAGACAATTTTAAATGACAGATGGGGCTCGCCCTCTCTTTCTGCCAGCAAGTGCTATTCTAGAAAGAGAAGGAGCAGAGGCTTCTGCGGGCCTCCCCTGGGCACACCAGTCAGCGCTACAGTGTCAGCAACAGTACCCACACCCCAGAAACCACCTAAGTTCTAACTTCCCACCCACCACGGACTTCGGTGGAGAAATCACGAGACAAGGAAACGTTCACACACTAAATGGCTTCAAGGGGAAAAGCACACACGAAACCCCACACACAAAAGGAGGGAATGCACTAGACTTATCCCACTGAAGCATGGGAATCAAGGCAATTCCACTGGTCTATATGCTGCTTTCTTAATGTCTTCAAATTTTCTACAACGAACATAGATTTTTTTTTTATGTTTTATTTATTTTTGAGAGACAGCGCAAGCAAGGGAGGGTCAGAGAGAGAGGGAAACACAGAATCTGAAGAGAGGCTCCAGGCTCTGAGCCAGCTGTCAGCATAGAGCCTGACGTGGCACTCGAACCCACGAACTGGGAGATCATGACCTGAGCCAAAGTCAGACACTTAACCGACTGAGCCACCCAGGCGCCCTGATTATTTTTATAAAAATAGCAATGAAGGTTATTTCTCTTACACTTCAACCTGGCCTGAAATGCTTTCTGTTTTCTTCCTTTCTACCTATGTGAATGCCTTTCCAGGGCAGGCTCGGGGCCACCTCTTCTAGGAAGGCATCCATGGCTCCAGGAGGCTGGACTCACAGAAACTTGAGGACCTTCCTGCTCATGCACCACGAAGCCCAGGCCAGGCTGAGGCACCCCAGGAGCCTGGCCCAGGGGGCCCCCACGGCCTCACCACCACTACTATTGACCCTTTGCTTATCAAGCTCTGGGTGTTCAGACACAGTGCCAAGTTACCACCATAAGAAAAAGCACTCTTATTAACCCCATTGTACAGATGGGCAAACGGAGAATCAGAGAGGAGAGCCACGTGGTTGGTCAGCAACAGAGTTGAGATTTAAACTCAGGTTAGCTGCTAACTCCAGACAACTTGTTCTTAGTCGCTGTGCCATGTGCCTCCCTTGGAAATCTACCATCGTGGCTCTCGGGGCCCTCACCACTAGCACATCGGGGCCAAACACACCTTCCTGCAGTATCAGAAGCCCACCACCCCCACTCACCCCCTCCCAGCTGAGCCCCAACCCACACTCTTCCTCATCCTCACACCAAGCAAGTACTGCCTTCTGGGCCCTTTGTCCTGCAGCTCCTCGTACCTGGGACATCTTTCCCAGGCTGGATGGGGGGAAGGGAAAGGGAAACCCAGGGCAGGAGCAGTATGTGCGGACACTCTTTCCTGGACCACCTCCCTCCTCTGCACTCAATCACTCAGTCATTCGATAAAAATGCACCAAATACCCACCCTTCGTGATAAGTTCGGGGGGGAGGGTATAAACAGGAATAAGGAAGCCATATACAATCACTGCAGCCCAAGGAAATGAACCCGAGAGTGACGGTAGTTACGTGGGCTTTGGGGGTGGGAGGAGGACACGGCCTCTGATGGGGAAACAGGGCAGATCACAAGGCTGCACAGAGTTCTAGGCTTCAGCAGACGGAGCCCCAGGAGCCCTGTGGGTGCCGGCCGTGGCACAGGAAGTGCTGGCTGGGTCGTGGTGGGGAAGGAGGTCGGGCCAGGCGCACCCCACACCCCCTCTACCCCCACCCCGTCCTCACCTGGAGGGGGGTGGCAGGGCTGTGTGTTACAGGGCTCCACCTCCCCGGGCTTGGGCTGCTGCAGGCTGCCGCAGTGGCTGGGTGGCCCGATGGCACAGACGACCTGGCGCCGCCGAATGCCCGAGCCGCAGCTCTTGGAGCACTGGGACCCGAGGGGTGGGCGTGCAGAGAAAGAACAGGCACACAGAAGGGGAGAGACCCTGAGGCTGGGGGTCCCCACAAGGGAGGGGGGGTGGAAACTGCCTGGTAATGCATGTCAGACCCAAGGATGGTCACGTGTCCGCCTACCTGTGAGACACCCAAGGGACCAGGACTGGGCAGCAGCTACGGACGGGAAGGAGGCGAGTGCTCACTAGACCCCAGGCGCCCACGTGCCAGGCCTGGTCGTTGATGGGGGGACAGTCTCCATGCACACAGGCCTCAGAGGCGGGGGGACGGTCCTCCAAGGAGCATGCTGTGGCGTGGAGCAGGGACCCCTCGTCTCCCCGGCAAGTGACGCTGCGCTTCCGGATCCCAGCACCACAGCTGACAGAGCACTGTAAGGACCAGGCTGTCAGCAGGAGCTTGTCCTCGCCCAGAGGAGCTGTGCCAGGGCAGACAGCTAGAGGCCCACCTGCTGGCACAGAGGGTGGATGGCCCTCTACTGCCCGTATCCTGGGCTCAGAGAAGCCAAGTCACTCTTCCGAGATCACACAGCCTGCTGACACTGAGCCTAGGTACCTCTTCCACATTCCCTCGTTCAAAAGTTGAATGTATGTAATATACGTGCTGGAAGTAGTTGACCAGCAGCCCCAGACAGGGCCAGCTCCTCCCTTGCCCCTAAACAATGGGCTTGGCTGCTCCTTCATGCCAAGGCAGAGCCTTTCCCTAGCCTGGGATCCTGGAGAAGGAGGAAGGGTCCAAGCAGCTGCTCCTAGTCCCCCCCATGGCCACAGCTTCCAAGACCACCCAGCAGGTCACTTTATCTCCTAGGATCTATTTCCACCAGCAGAGATGATGATTCCCAGGGCGGTTCTGCTGCCACCCCAGGCCACCAAGACCCAGCACCTGACTTCCTCCCCTCCCTGCATCCCCGCCACAGCCCCACCGGGCAGGGGCCTCACCTCTCCCCAGGGCTCCACGCTCCAGGATGCACAGCGTTGCAGGTTGCAAGGCCGCGTGGCAGGGGGCTTCCCGGGCAGGCCCGCACACTCGGCCTCCTCAGTGGCCTCCTGGACGCCAGCCCCATCGGACAAGACACAGTAGACAGAGCGGGACTGGGAGCCACCGCCACAGGAGGCTGAGCAGGGCGACCAGGGCCCGGTCTTCCAGCTGGTGGGGCAGGGGGCAGGAATCTGGTCAGGCTGGCCCAGCAGCCGGAGCCCAGGCCCAAGGCAGCACCAGCTCTCACACATAGGAGTGGACTGGGGATCCTCCAACCTGGCCCGTCCTAACATCTAGGCCTGACAAGGGGAGGGGGGAGGGAGGAGGGGGCAGGGCAGAGAGCTCTTCACAAAAGGCCACGCTCTCTACACGCCTTGGTCCCTACACTGAACACTGGTCCCTACAGCACGGAACCTGGCTGCCCGTTTTAGCTTTCCTGTCCTCCCGTGTCCCCCTTTCTCCTTCTCACCAGGCTCCCTGTCGTCCCCAGCCAGACTCCATCGCCTCTGCGTCTGACCTTAGCAGGGGGCATCTCCCAGAGGGGCTGCGCTCACCCACTTGCAGAGTAGTCCCGCCTGGCCCTGAAGCACCAGGACCGGAGGTAAAGGCAGCCCCAAGTGCACCATGCAAAGCCAAGCCCACCACCATCCTGAGAGGCCAGATGCCACCAAGAGGCCAGATGCCACTGAGGCCACGAGGGTGGAAGGACTGCACCAGCGTGGCAGGGAGCCTGTGGCCTGCTGATTACCTGTTCCTGCAGGCACGCTGGGCCCCAGCAAGGTGCCACGCTCTGGGCTGGTGCAGGTAAGAGGTCCTTGGTGCGTGAACAAAGGCATGGTTGATGCCCACAGGCCCTGTGGCCCGATCCCTGGCCCACTTCTTGGCATCTGCCGAGCCAAGTCCCCTGCTGGCTCAGACAGGGCCTCCAGTACCTTTCCCCACTCTCCTACCACCAGCCTGGACATTCTGAGCACTGGGCACACATGCGTGGACAGAACAGCCCTGGATCTCATGCCCTTGCTCCCCCGCCCCCCGTGACAGCTGCCTCTTCCCCACTCTGGCCACAGCTGGAGGGAGCCCTGGACCGACCCAGCTGTTTGCTCAAGTGGCCCAGAGACCACACCGCCTTCCCATCCAAGGGCTCGGGCCCCACCATGGGTGCAGGGGGCTGGCACGGGCCTCACCGTTTGGTCTGTGGACACGGGTGAGTGCTGCAGGGGCGACGGTCAGCCGGCCGCAGCTGGTGCTGGCACATGCGGTCAGGGTAGACCTCGTTGTCAGTGGTGCAGAACACTGGGCGGGACTGGTGACCTGCAGATGCCCGGCCATCATGGCCACGTGGTCGGTCAGCCTTCCCCAAAAGCGTTCTCTGGGCTGGGTATCATTCTGGACACACCCCAAGTGTCATCTTGATTAAATCTCAACTGACCCCCTGGGATTGGTGCCACCCATCATCACCTCCAATTTACAGATGAGGAAACTGAGGTTTGAAGATTATTATCTGCAGGTGATGGAGCCCTGCTTTGACACTCCGAGCCCAGCCTCTGCGGCCACCTTGGGGAAGCCTTCTTTGGTTCTCTTAGCTTAGAAAGGGGGGGGGGCCCTTCATGGAGTCCCTGACCCCTGGGTTTCCTCCAGGTGGCCCCCACAATGTGCAGACATGTCATGTACGTGTCCACCTCCCGGGGCTGCCCTCACCTCCGCCGCACTCGGTGCTGCAGTCGCTCCATGAGCCGTGGCTCCAGTGGAAGCCAGGGCGGGGGCTGCCCAGGGGCAGGTGGTACTCATAGCTGATGCCCGGGTTGGGCTCCTGGCTGAGAAGCTGTGTGGGAAGGTCCTTGCTGAGGCCTGCGCGCAGTGGGGTCCCCCCTCGTGAGCAGGCCAAAAGCCCCCACACCTCGGCCTCTCGGGGACCAGGTGGCCCTGCTCCCTGGCAGCCCCTCACCTCGATGACTAGGGGCTCGGAGGTGGGGCCGCGAGCAAGGAGCCGCTCTGGCGCCAGGTCCCCCTCGGCCCCTCGCTCGTAGTGCAGGACAGTGCTGGCCACAGGCAGGGCCCAGGCTCCTCCGATGGTCCAGTGCCCGTTGAGGTAGTATTCGCCACGGACGCTCTTCACCGCTGCACAGACGTGAGCCGCCCAGTCAGCGGCTGGGGCAGGACCGGCCACCCGGTCACAGCCCAGACTCACCCCAGACCGCACTCACCCAGGAAGTTCCTGCTGGCAGCCGCCTCCTCCACTCGGATGCTGGTGGCCCCCGAGGGAATTATGAGGATCTGGTTGTAGCCTGCAGGGGCAAGGAAACTCAGGGCCAGCCACGCCCTAGCAGCACGGATGGGGTCAGGGACGGGTCAGGGACGGGTCAGGGACAGGTCAGGGACAGGTCAGGGACAGGCAGGGCTGAGCTGCTTGGGGAAGAAGGAGCAGCAGCTCCACAAAGGTGAGAAGGATCGGCAGGCTTGGACGCCCAAACTGACTGGGGGTGGGAGGGGACAGCCGGGGACGGTGGGGGAGGGTCCAGGAGGGGCCTCTGGCTGGAGGCACCATGGGATCACACTGGCTTAGTGGGCAGAGCTCCTTACTATCCTGAGACCACGGGCCCAAGGGAAAGGCTGTGGCCTCCACCCCGAGGCAGGGCCTCTGGCCTTTTAGATCTGACCTGAGTGCCAGACTGGACCTTCTCAGGGCCATGAGGGTGATGCGGATGGTAGGAGACAGGCAAGGCAGGGACAGGTGAGGCAGGGACAGGCAACACACCCTCGTCTCCATGGCCTGTGGGCCCCCAGAAAACCCCCACCTCTGCTGAGGTCATTGGCATCAAAGGTGCCTGTGACGGGGTAGCAGGTGGTGCCATCACCCCCACACTGCAGACACTTGTCCTCCTCCTTTGATGAGTCTAGGTTGTGGTCACAGCCGACGACCTAACGGGCAGAGATGAGGAGGAAATGAAAGAGACCAGAGGGAGTCACAGATCAACCAGGATCCAAACGCTGGTGGCTGGTCCGATCAGGGAAGGATGGGAAGTACTCGTCAGCCATCGAGGCTGAGTAAGATTGGAACCAGCCTGTGGCTGACCACCTACCTCTTCCGCCAGCCCAGCACCCATCTCCCCTCCTCTGGCAACAACACATTTCCCACAGTTTGGACAGAGCCCCCAACAGTGAATGTGGGCAAATCAGTAGGTTCTACGTCTTGCTCAAAGAGAGTGGTTCATGGGAAGCCCTGAGCCAAGATGAGTCAGAGGCAGCCCCAGGTCACTGGAACTCCTGGGAAGAGGGCACCCTTTCCAGCTAGAGCTTGGAGCCGCTGGTGGCCGTGCACACACCTCAGCAGTCTCATCAGGCACCTGCAGTCAACCAGCCCATCCCTCGATGGTTATTTTCCCCCCTTTGTCAATTTTAGTTGCGTTTCTGTGACTTGCCACTCAGAGGGTTGCTCTTATCATGGCACTCGAGTTCTTGAAGGGCAAAGGTGAGAAGGTCATAGGGCATCTACGATGCAAAGACACCTTAGAAGCTGGTCATGGGAAGACATCAAGCTCATGAGAGCCACTGGCCCTGCTAGTGTGGGGCAGGAGGACATCCTGCAATAAGCCCAAGGCCAGGATGGGCAGCAGCGGGGAGGGGGAGCAGGTGGGAGATGGGCAGGGGCTCAACTCACCCGGCAACCGCCCTCCACGCACACATCCCGTTTGCCAGGCTCACAAGGTGTCCCATCCACGACAGCCTCCCTGTGCTTGTAGTAGAAGTTCTCCCCCTTGGGAATGCAGTTCAGTTCACACTTGTTCGGGGCTGAGCAGGCAAAGGGGAAAGCTGAGATCCCAAGCAAGCATCAAGTACTACCCCGGAAACAGGGAAGCATGGGCAGAGGCCAGAAGCACACAAATGGTGGCAGAGAAAGAAAGCCCTCGAAGCGGCTCCCCCAGCAGCTCAGAATCCCACCCCACCCCCAGGGAGAAGGGACGGCCACAGAACTGTTGCATCCCTGGGGATCAAGCTGAAGAAAAACCCCAAGGTAAGGAAAAGGCAGCCGCTTGAAGAGGTCTACCCCATCCTTATAGACAAGCCCATGTGTTAACAATCAGCTATTCTAAGTAAATTATTCATAGAATACTATGCATGTTGACTACTCTATAAAGAATTACAAATGGGGCGCCAGGGTGGCTCAGTCAGTTTCGGCTCAGGTGATGATCTCACAGGTTCGTGGGTTCGAGCCCCACGTCGGGCTCTGTGCCAACAGCCCGCTCAGAGCCTGGAGACTGTTTCCAATTCTGTGTCTCCCTCTCTCTCTGACCCTCCCCTGCTCATGCCATCTCTCTCTCAGAAGTAAATAAAACTTTAAAAAAATTAAAAAAAGAATTATGAAGACTATGTGGTAATTACGAGGATGCTTATACCACACGATGCAAAATGGTGCTATGTAATAACTATAAATGTGTAAACGTATATATAGAAAAAATGTGAAAAATGCTAAAATGGAATGCTAGACCAAGCCTGTGAAACAACAAAGAAGGCATCCCTTGAATGACCCTTTCTAACCTTTCCTCTGTGTTCCAATTTTTTTTTCTTTTTAAGAAATTTTTTAAACTTTTTTTACTTGAGGGGTTCAGAGCCTGGGGCCTGCTTGGGATTCTGTGTCTCCCTCTCTCTCTGCCCCTCCCCTACTTGTGCTCTGTATTGGTCTCCTAAAAATAAATAAATGTAAAAAAATCTTTTTTTAAACGTTTATTTGAGAGAGACAGAGAAGGAGACAGAGAATCCTAAACAGACTCCATGCTGTCAGCTCAGACCCCACTGCAGGGCTCCAACCCACAAACCCCGAGATCACAACCTGAGCTGAAATGAAGAGTTGGACGCTTAATACACTGAGCCACCCAGGTGCCCCTCTACTTTTCTATGATATGGATATATTTAAATTACTCAGGCAGAGCAAATAATGCCAACAGGCTCCCCTGGGGCCACTCCTCTAGCCAAGACCCTCTTCCCCATCCCTTGGCACACACAGGATATAAATGTTCATGGATTCGGAATCCAGAGTGTCATACTTTTCAGGAGTCATTAGCAATGAGCAGTGAACACTAACACTCAGCAGGATTAGCCTAAGGAATCTTATGACTCCTTTACAATGTTTCTATTACGTACCTGTGTTTTTTTTTTAATTTTTAATGTTTATTTATTATTGAGAGAGACAAAGCATGAGCATGGGAGGGGCAGAGAGAGGGGGAGACGCAGAATCCCCCTCTCTGCTCTGTCAGCACAGAGCTCCAGGCGGAGCTCGAACTTATAAACCGCGAGATCATGACCGGAGCTGAAGTCAGAAGCTTAACCGACTGAGCACTCAGGCCTGGCCCCTGTACGTGTGTTTTTTTCTGAAACTGTATTTCTCTAAAAATTAATCACTCTCCTCAAAGCTATTCCGAGCGAGCCCTTGGGCGCCAGAGATCCTGGGTAAATGGATTCGTGCCACACCAAGGCCCTTGCGGCCCCAGCGCAGTTTCCCCAACGCCCCGAGGCTTCTGCGCACCGCGAGGAATACTTCCGGAGCAGGCCAAACAAAGCCAGGCCCAAAATAGCAAGGACGTGGCCTAGTGGCTTCGCTTGAAAAAGCAGAGATGGAGGGCCGCCTGCTGTTGCGTTGCGGTGGGCACGTGCTGGGAGAACGGTGACCCCGTGGGGTGTTTTTTGTTTTTTTTTAAATGTACTTGACAGAGCATCTACAGTACGGTAGTAAAATCGTGTAACAGAAAATCAAGTGTCCAGAAGGGTTCCCAAACAGGTGGGGCGCAGCACAGAGCAGGGCAGGGTGCAGCAGCAGGGGCGCGGGGGACGCCCACTTACCCCCGTAGTAGGGCAGCCACTTGTAACGCTTTCCCTGGAAGTCCTGGCCATCGAACTGGGAGCACTGCTCCGCCCGGAAGTCCCTGGCCCCGGCGGGGCAGCTCTGCGGGGGGGCCAGGGAGGAAGGGAGGGGGCCGGTGGGCGCTTCTCCCCCCCCATCCGCCCCCTCGCCACGCCCCCTAGCGGCTCGGGGCGGCTCCTGAGCGCCTCCTTGCTGGGGCTTTGGGCTGCTCTAGGGGAGGCCGTCATTTGGGGTGTGGGGTGAACAAGAGGCTCCCACAGCCCAGGATGCGCACCAGCGGGAGGTCGCCCCCAGGACTGGGAAGTCAGCCGGGTAGGGGGTCCCCCCAGGATGCGCACCAGCGGGAGGTCGCCCCCAGGACTGGGAAGTCAGCCGGGTAGGGGGTCCCAGAAGCTGGTGCCCCCACTCCTGGGGCCTTTACCTCAGTGCGGCAAGAGCGGTGGCTCCGGACAGGACCCACGCAGCTGGAGCCTCCATCTCTCCTGAGGAGGAGAGCACCGGGAAGGCCGGACCCCGCCAACCAACACCCTCTCCTCCTCCCGGGGCTCCCCCGCAGGCGGAGGAGGGACGTCCGCGCGCACACGCACGGTTCCCCAGGTAGTGATGAGCTCCGAGCTTATACTTGGAAGAAGCTGGACTCAGCAGTCTATTCTGAACTGTCTCTAAGTCGGGGCTACTCTGCCTCTTAAAGCAAATTTCCAAAGAATCAAATTCTGCCTTTGGAGATAAAATAAGATGTAAAACGCACATCTGGAAAGGCTATTCTGCAATTTAAGGAGTATAGGTTTATAAGGTGCTTAAAATAATAGCTCATATAATAACTCATGTCTCTTCGTCTTCACACAAGGTTCTCAGGAATAGGAAAGTAACCCACCGACAGGAAAAGGGTCACCCCCTTGTTCTGTGCCCCACCCGCCACAGCACCTATCAGGGTGCAGGGCACATGAGTGCTTGATCCCTCACTTATTACAGTGGGAGACACGTATACTTAAATAGGCTGCAGGTGGAGAAAACGCACAGGTTAGCAATTGTTGACGATCGTTCACTAATTCACCAATTTACTGCACCTGCTGCGTGAAGCTCTGGGAACGACTCAGGCGTGTGAGGCAGGTGTGTCTAGTTCCCCTGAAATAAGGCTGATTGTGGGACTCAGAGTGAAAGTACGTGGGGAATGACTTCATTCCAAATATTCCACCAATGCTGTCCCAGAACAAGCCTATTGCTCAGTACCAGCGGACTCCCTGACCAGCCTGGCCCCGGCCAGCCTCCCTACCTCTGGGAGTAGCAGGGGCGCTCCCGGAAGCTGATGCCCCCTCCGCAGGTCCTGCTGCAGGGGCTCCAGCTGCCCCAGGGACCCCAGGGGTCACTCTGCCGCCTCACCTTGGGAGCCTGGAGGAAAAGACACGCTGAGGAGTGTGAGTCACTCAGAGGCCCCCCACAAGGGCACTGGGGCTCCCCGGAGGGCCCCTGCCTAAACACATTCCCATTTCTCACCTTGGGAGCCAAGCCCTTCAAGGACTCCGGGCCCCCCAAACATTCATTTACAGAATCCGCCAGCTTTCCCCATAAGGGGTCAGGAGCCTTACACACACGCCCTGGCCCCTTGGAACCAGCACCCACGAAGCAGACATCCACTTGCCGGGCAGGCGGGAGGGAGGGACCAAGCCTGCCAGATCTTAGAGCCGGGCTATCTACCCCTCCCCGCCGTCTCCCCGAGGAAAGAAAGCACATTTGGCTTCAGCCACGGGCAGCACAGGCACGTTTTGTTTCTCTATAATTACTCAAGCCACGAGCTGATGGTGTGGAGCCAGGATAAGCGGGTCCAGCCCACCCTCCCACTGGCCTGTCTTCACCTGCTCCTGCTCTCAGTACCCAGCCTTTCCGCCTCTGACTCTCCTCTCCCAGGGCAATGTGGGCACCCCCTTTCCTGCTGCGCTCTTTCCAGGGCTGTGCTGTGCAGGGGCGGGTGTGAGAGAAGGTGTGAGTGGGTGGAAATGGAGGCAGAGGAAACCACCCCTGACCAGCCTGGGGTTGACAGGCGGCGATGGCGACGGGGCGTGGTGGCCAGGGTGCATATCCGCTTTACTCCTCCCTAACCCCTGTCAGCACTGAGAAGGGCCAAGAAGCACCTGGGGACCCCATGGTGGCTGTGCCCTCAGTGGGGCCAGAAACAGGAGGCAGCTGAGCTGGGGGCGTGCAGTGGAGGGGCAGAGGAGAGTTCTAGGCCCCACCTGAGCTCACACGGTGTGGGTAGGAGGCAGGAAAAGGTTACTCAGGTGTTCCTAAGGCAGAAGGCATCTAGTAGGACCCAGGTCGTTTTGTACACCTTGACTCAGTTCACCTGCACAATAACCCAAGGGTGGTCATTATAACCCCCCAGTTAAAGGGGATCTAAGGCCTGATGATTTGCTTACGGTCACACAATTGTTAGGGGGTGGCTCTGGGTTCCGTCCTGGAGTCTTGACATGGGCACCGTAGTCCCTAAACCTGAGAGGTGGCTTCATGCAGCCAGGCACGAGGGAAAGCCCATGCCAAGGATCTCACGGTGTGATGTTTAGGGAGCAAGGACCATGGGGTGGCCGAGGTGACTGTGGGTAGCTGGCCTCTAGCCCACCCATCTCTCTGTGGCCAGTGCCATGTGAATGGGGCTTTGGAGAAGTGCCCGCTGGCCACCATGGCCATCCACCCCTGCCTGGCCCTGCCCCCTCCATCCTCAATTCACACTCTACAGAGGCAGCATTTCCCCTCCTCCCCAAGGACTGCCCGTCTCACCTCCCCCCCACCCCAGTGAAGAGCTCTCCGGGGACAGCATGGGACCTGGCTGCTTCTGTGCCCTCCACCCTGTCAATGCCAGCAGAAGCCTGGCAGGAGCAGCGCCAGTGCCAAGCCCCGCTCTGTGGCCCCTCCCCTCCCTGGAGGTGGTGGGTCCTGCCACCTAGAAGATTTATCCTATAACCTCAAGCCCCCAGGCTTGTTCTCCAGGGATCTTTGTTCTTTAGACCCTGATACCAAAACAGCTACTCCCATCACCAGCTGGCTCCTGTGCCCTCTAAATTTGCACTAACGCAGTATCCATGAACCCCGTGTGGCCATTTAAGTTCATTAAAATCAAACCAAAGAAAAAACTTAGTTCTTCTGCTGCACTAGCCACATTTCATGTGCTCGGTAGCCACAGAACCAAGTGTCTATCTTGCTGGACAGCACAGATTCAGAACATTTTTGTCATCTCAGAAAGGTCTGTGGGCCATCCTGCCCTGGGTGCTGCCCCCAGTGAGGAGGAATGACTGGCACCCGCGAACCTCTAGGCACAGTCAGGCCGACGGGCAGACTGCAGAGGGGACGCGCCATCTAGCCTGCACCTTGGCTCCAGCCAGCACTGCCCCCTCCCCTTCCTCCCACCTTGGAAGGCTACCTAGGAGAGGCCTCGGGTGCAAGCATTAGGGTGTCCCCAGCAGCTTCTGAAGGGGGAGGGCGGTGGCAAGTTGCCTGCAAACTGCCCCCTGCAGCCCCAGCGGCCAGTTCTAGGTACCTTGACCAGACTCTTTCAAAGTCCCATCAGTTTTTGAAAGAATTTCGTTGTCGTTGTTGTTGGCCCTCCCTGCAGGGACAGGGAGCCCCAAGCTGCAGGGGGGAGGCTGCTCCCGGGTCCTAAACCCTGGGGCATTCCCCACCCCCATCCCTGCTCCCAAACTGGGAGCCTGGCCAGGTAGGGACGCACTCACCGAGGACCCAGGTGCCGGGGCCAGAAGCAGGGGCACCAGAAGGAGCAGCCGCATCTCAGCCTGTGGGAGAGGCAGGGGTCAGGACCCTTCATGGGCGGGCCAGGGCGCATCCCTTCCTCCCCGTTGCCCACAGGTGACCTCAGAGCCGCAGGGGGACCAGAGGGAAGGCCATGGGGCACAGGCACTCACGTGGGGCGGGAAGCCTACAACTCGCTTCTAAAAGTTCAAGAGCACCTTCTTTCAGGATTCAAAGAAGAAAAGAGAGGGCAATTAACAATACTTGTTTGAGGGGTGCCTGGGTGGCTCAGTGCCTTGAGGGCTGTTCGAATCTTGGCTTCCGCTCATGTCAAGATAATCATGTTCGTGAGATGGAGCCCCAGGGAGGGCTCTGCGGTGACAGCACAGAGCCTGCTTGGGACTCGCTCTCTCCCCCTCTCTCTGGCTCTTCCTCTCTCCCACAATAAATATTTAAAAATACTTCTTGTTAAATGATCGCTTCTGAATCAACACAATCACCTCACTGTTTTTAATTTAGCCAGAGACTGCTTTTTAAATTTTTGTTTTGTTTTTTGAGAGAGAGAGTGAGAATGAGTCGGGGAGGGGCAGAGAGAGGAGAGCAAGAATCCCAAGCAGGCCCCGCGCTCTCAGCATATGAGCTGCATGCTACACCGACTGGGCCACCCAGGCGCCCCAAGAGATTGCTTTTTAAAAACCCGTTACGCCAATTGTTTCTAAAACTTGTTAATATAGGGGCGCCTGGATGGCTCAGTCAGTAGAGCATGTGACTCTCGCTCTCAGGGTTCAGAGTTTGAGCCCCACCATTAGGTGTAGAGATTACTTAAAAATAAAATCTTAAAAAAAAATAAATACAACTTTTTAAAAAGAAATTCTCTGAGGGGCACCTTGGTGGCTCAGTCAGTTAAGTGCCCGACTTGGGCTCAGGTCACGATCTCCAGGTTTGTGAGTTCAAGCCCCAAAGAATCAGGCTCTGAGCTCAGAGCCTGCTTCTGATCCTCTGTCTCCCTTTCTCTTCTCCTCCCCCGCTCATGCTCTCTCTGTCTCTGGCTCTCAAAAATAAACATCTTTAAAAGTTGCATTAAAAAACTCTCCAAAGATGCTTTTAAAACTCATATGCTTTAAAAATGTCAATTGTAATCCTACTGTAAACCCAAGCCAGCATTTCTCTGCACAAGTAGGCCCCACAACGTGTGTGTGTGTGTGTGTGTGTGTGTGTGTCTGACTATGCGGTGTGGCGTCTGAGTGTGCACAATGAGTGCAGTGTGTGCACATGTCCAACACAGGGTGTGTAGCATGTGCGTGCAAACAGGGTGTGTGCAGTGCGGTGTGTGTGTTCTGTCTGTGCACCATATGTGTGCATGTGTGTGCATGTCACTGTATGGGAGAATGACATAAGCAATTTGCTCCTTCAGTACAAAACATTATGCGAGTACTGACTTGTAAGTTTAAATTTACAAATCTGTAATTCTACCAACGTTCTATTTTTTTTTTTTTTAGCATAAAATGACTTCATTTCACAAGGACAAAACAGAGCACACACAAGCCAAGTTCAGCAAAATTTAACCTGGCACGTTCACCGACGTACATGCTTCATTAATTTAGCACAAACACTGATTTATTTAGTCATTATTTTCATAGTCAAATCAAGAGGTTCCTGGGGCTCGCAGCAGGAGGGTGGGTAGGGGGTACTGCCTCCTCTCCCCACACCCCAGCGCCCCACAGCTCCTGTAGCAGCAGCATGCGGGAGGGGTGGCACCAGTTGCTCTGTGAGTCCTGTTCTAGGGCTAATGACAAGATTAGTGTCAGGGCGGGATGCGTCTCTAAAGCCAACTGCCTTAAGAGGTGGAGGTGAGCAGAGCCAAGACAGAGACTGAAGGAAAGACAGAAGACTTGACTTATAATTGCTACCAGGTTCTACTACCACTGCTACAATTACACTAGATCAAGACGCACATATGCAATCCCAGGGTCCAGAAAGCCTGGAAGGCTATTTCAATTCACTTGAGAGAAAAACACAAAGACCAGCCCTGGGTGCTGGGCACCGGACTACACCGCGGGGCTCCCCCAGCTGCCTGAGGGCAGGGCCCCCTGCACACCCAGCGGACAGTGGGGGCTCCTTTCGCGCTGTTTGCCTGAGGAACTCAGCGGTGCTGGACCAGGGCCGAAGGAAGCGGAGGCCGAGCGGGTCTGCGCCTCATCGCGGGGACTGGCCCCGCGACCCGTGCCTGGGGTCCTTGCGCGCCAGGCGCCGCATATGCGCACGAGTCCCCAGCGGATGCGGAGAGCCCCCTCCCCCCGCCCCGCCCCGCCCCGGCCCTTCCGGCGCGAGACCCTTCCCCGTCGGCCGCCCACGCAAGAATCTTCCCCGCGTCGGTCACCAGGAGGCGCCCGCGGCCCGCAGTCCCAGCCCGGGGACGTGCCCGCGCCCCCCACCCGCCTGGGAACGCGCGGGCGCAGCCCCCCAGAGTGGAAAGGTGACCTTCCCACGCGAGGCGCCAGGGCCACCGGGCACGTGTTCGCCCTGGCGGCACCTCCGGGAGGGGCATGCTCGGTCTCCGGGTGCGGGAAAGGCGTCCCACCGAGGCAAGGTCTGAGGGGGCGGGCGGCGTCTGCGCGGGGCTCCGGCCGCGTCCGTCCGCTGAGCAGTAGCCACCTGTGGCTCCCGGCCGTCTCCTGCCCGCCGGTGACCTCCCAGCCCCGCCCGCGGACAGAGTCGGAGGCGGGGTCTCCTCCTGGACCCCCCACTTCCTCCAGTACCGCTCTTCCTGCGGGCCAGGCGGGGCACGTTCCTGCAGCAGCCCCGGAGCGAGCCGCCCCTGTCCCCGGGTCACCAACCGTCCGTTTTCATACCTGGGTCTCCGGGCGCGCGGGGCCCGCAGCGCCGCTCCGTCGGTGCCCGCCCTGGGAATGAGAGGTTGGCCTGGCGGCGCGGAACGCCTGCGGAGGCTGGCTGGCTTCTCCCCGCCCCATCTTCCCCCAGCCAGCCCTGCATACACCCATCCCCAATCCCAGTGGAGAGACCCCCCCCCCCGCCCCCGCCCTCCCGCGCTGTGACCGGTGCTGCATCCCCTTGGGTCTGGGCCAGAGCTTGGCTTGCCCTCCATTGTGATTATTCTCTTGGGCGGGCACCAGTCACCACCCCAGTCCCACTTCCTCTAAGCCGTCCATCTCTCTGTCATCCCCCTCCACGCCCACCTTACATACAGCACACTTCTGTGTCCAGCTGTCTGCTTGTCTTCCACCCTTGAATTCTGTACAAGCAGACCTCGCTTTATTGTGCCTCGGTTGGGTTGTTGGTTTGGGAGGGTTGAGGGTTTTTTGTTGTTGGGTGGGGTTTTTTGGTTGTTTTTTGTTTTTTGTTTGTTTTTGTTTTTTGCAATTTGCTTTATTGCACTTTATTGCATTTTTTACAAAGTGAAGGTTTGTGGCAACCCTGCCTAGCACAAGTCTGTTGGCCCCATTTTTCCAACAGTATTTGCTCACTTTATGTCATGTGTTGGTAATTCTTGCAATATTTCAAAATTTTTCATTACAATATGCTATGGTGATCAGTGATCAGTGGTTATGATGCCCTGAAAGCTCAGATGATGGTTAGCATTTTTCATCAATAAAGTCTTTTTAATTAGAAAAATTGTTTTTTGAGGGGCACCTGGCTGGCTCAGTTGGTAGAGTATGCGGCTTCTTTAAAAAAAAGTATTATTTATGTTTGTATGTATTTTGAGGAGTGGGGGGTGGGGCAGAGAGAGGAGGAGGAGGAGGAGGAGGAGGAGGAGAGAGAATCCCAAGCAGGCTCTGTGCTGTCAGTGCAAAGCCCCAAGTGGGGTGGGGCTTAAACTCAAACTGTGAGATCACGACCTGAGCTGAACCCAAAAGTCAGATGCTTAACCCACTGAGCATGAGACTCGATCTCAGGGGTTGTTAGTTCGAGCCCCATGTTGGACATACAGTTCACTTTAAAAACATTAGTTTTTTAGGAGCACCTGGATGGGTCATTCGGTTAAGCATCCGACTTCAGCTCATATCATGATCTCACAGCTCATGAGTTTGGCCCCTTGTCGAGCTCTGTGCTGACAGCTCAGAGCCTGAAGCCTGCTTCAGATTCTGTGTCTTAGTCTCTCTCTGCCCTTCCCTTGCTCATGCTCTCTCTCTCTCAAAAATAAATTTAAAAACATTAAAAAATCTTTTAAATTCGTTTTTTAGACATGCTATTGCACACTTCATAGACTACAGTATAGTGAAAACCTAAGTTTTATATACCCTGGGAAACCAAGAAATCTATTTGACTCACTCTTGGGATATTTGCTTTATTGCAGTGGTTTGGAGCTGCCCCTGCAGTATGTCCAAAGTATGCCTGTACTTCAGCCACAGCTAAGCTTCTCCTCACACATGCTGCTGTTTCCTACTCTCCTAGCCACTTTTCACACTGCGTAGAATGCACTCTGGAAATCCACTCTACCTTGCAAGTTCCTACTCATCAAGGCCCTGACCAAATGTCACCTCTTCTAGAAGCCTTCCCCGCACCCTAGCAGGCAGAATTGGTGCTCAGCCCGCTCCCTCAGTCTCTGTCCCTGTCTACTGTAGTTTGTGGTGCATCAGCCCATGGGAACCTGGGTCTCCCCAAATCAGTGGCTAAGGATAAAGCATGCCTGCCCATCACCTGTGCTCAAGGGACTAGTTAGTATGAAACTAGGGACTCAAATGTGATACACTTCCTTTCCTTTCCTCAGGTCCTTTTTCTCAACAAAGGCACTTCTTGCCTGCCATCCCTTTTTTGAAACTGAAAATCACCTACCCCCAGGAAAATAGCATTGGCTCTGGGCCACATGGGAGGTGGGGAGGTCACAAGGCGTGTCCCCTCTCCTCATCCTCTTATACCTGGGCACTGGTCATTTCTCCCCTGGCCTCCTTTGGGGCAGAGAAACACCAGTGGGAAGCTCGCCCCCTGTTCAGAGCCCCCAGCTCCTGTAGATCATCTAGGTTTTCACTGATGCTCAGGCAAAATGCTTATTAAAACATAAGCAATTTACATCTGTCCCATTTCTTACCCATCAATGAAGAAAGAAGCAGCAGCAGCAGCTGTGTAGCAGGGGCCCCTGGGGACTCGTGTGAATTCTTAGGCAAAGATAAAGCTTGGCACAGAAAAGGGAGTGGAATTACCCAAAGCCTGCCTAGAAAAGGAAAATAGTTTCTTCTATTCAAGAAGCCCCACTCCCTGCCCCCATCAGCCAGGAATTTTCTGGGCTTGGTCAAAGGTCCCTTAAGTAGGAGGAAGCGGCTTCTCCTGCTATGGGGGCGGGGCCCCTGAGGCACCTCCTGGTCGGCTCCTGTTTTTCCTCAATGATCCCTTCTCAGGCACCCAGGCCCATGATTTCTTAGTCCCCACCCCCGCTGCGAAGCCCATACAGAAAGTAGGGAGGCAGAGCCCACACCCAGCGGGAAAGAGCCAGGCTCCAGCAGTTAACGGGTGGGGAGGGTAGTCCCCTCCAAGCCTCAGCCTCTCTACCCCAGACGGATGTGTGAGCTCGGTGCCCAGCACGTAACCGTTCACCAAAAATTGTGTGCACAATTGGTGTACACACACACACACACACACACACACACATACACACACAATGGAGATTTAGAAAGAAGATTCTGGGGAAACGTGTGAGACCTTCCCTCTCGTTGTAAATTCCCCTCTGCCCTGGCCCGCCCACCTGCAGGTCTGAGAAGCCCAGGGTGCAGAAGGGGTACAGCCCTTGCAGGCAGACAGACCTAGACTGGGAACCTGTGCTGCTTCGTGTATGAACTGAGGACTAAATCATGTCTCCTCCTTAAGCCTCGACTTGCTCACCTGAGCCTCACACAGAGGGTGGTAGAGTAGGGAAGTACCTGTGCGTGGTCAGTAAAAGTTCTTTCTATCCGGTGCTCCCTCCGCCCCGTGCTGCCTCCGCCTGTTTCCTGGTTCCTTACATCTGGATCATCTCGGCAGATTGCAGATCCAGGGACACAGCCTAGAAATAAATGGCCAGATCTTTTTGTAAGGCTGGGTTAGAACGGAAACTTGTTCCAGGCTCCCAGGATGTGTGCCACTTCCAGGAAGCCTTCCCTCAATGCCTGCCTCTGTGCTCCCACTGGGCCTGGATTGCACTTTGGAACTGCTGCAGTGATACAAATGTATCACTTTCTCCCTCTAAATTGTGAACTTTGCAAGGTCGGGGATGTTTTTCCCCTCATGGTCGCCGGTACCAGAGGTTTGTGGCAGCCCTGAAGGTGTCCGTCGAGAGAGCACGGTGTAGGAAAACGGCCAAGGACAGCTTCCAGTTGCCACCTGCCAGGTCTACGTCACGTTCTGAAGTCTATTCCTGTTCCTGCTCCCACCTGCTTATCTTTGCAGCACTTCCCCCACAGATCTCTTGCACATCTAATCCGACCTGACACACAGGGTTCTTGGTTGCATTCCATAGAGAAGGACATCGTCTGAGATGATCCGGATGTAAGGAATCCAGGAAACAGGAAGAGGCAGCACGGGGCAGAAGGAACTTTTACTGAGCACGCACTTAGTAGGAGCTTTATTGCGGCCCAGGTACTTCCCTACTCTACCACCCTCTGTGTGAGGCTCAGGTGAGCAAGTTGAGGCTTAAGAAAAGACATGGAGAGCTCGTGGAACTGACAGGAAGTCTGGAGAATCAGGCACAGACAAGGGCTGGAGTCCCCACCAATGCCATGGATCATGGCCCAGGAGCTGTTCTGGTTAGAACACTCCTGTGGGACACCGGACGCTGCCACACCACTTTCAGGTTACGCTGACCCAGATCATCCCCAGGAAACCCCTGGACGGTCCTTGTAGACGCCAGCCCCAACAGGAAGGAGCACAGCTGCACGCTGACCGCCAAGACCTAAGAAGCAAGAGTTGGCAGGTTGCCCGGATGAGAACCTGGTTCAGAGGCTGGGCCACCGCCAGCAAACAGAGGCTGCCGTCTCCCTGCAGCTCCTGGCACACGGCGCTGTTGAACTGGACTTGGAGAGAACACTGCTTCTCTTCTTCCCTCTCTTGCTGATGGTTGTTAATTCATTCCGGGGACACTTGAAGGCCTCCCCTCCTAGAAGCTGCGGAAAGGCCTGTCCGGGGGCAGCAAACGCATAGCACCCAGCTCTCAGGAAGGAAAAAGCACTGTCCGGTAGCCTTTATCAACTTTCGTGGCGTGAATACTCCACGGCTGTTTTCAGGCTACCAAGGTGATGTCACTAAGCACAGAGCTGGGAAGAGATCCCAAGCTGTCCTAACATGCAGACTGTCCTGCCCGTGGAGAGGTTACATTCTAGGAGGGCACTGCATGCTGGCGCTATGTGTCAATCCAGAATAATACTGTCTTACAAACCTGAATATTAAAATATTTCCACTCTAGAGGTCACAGAAGCTGTACTACAGCCCACTAGGAATCCAACAGGAAGAAGAACACTTCACACTTGAGGATTTCTCCATTTCTCTCTCTGCCTTCTCTTCCCTCCCCCTCCCATGTGTATATCCATTTACCTCGATGGAGTCCTTCGAAGTTGCGGGGTGGGGAGGGGAGCGATAAATGTCCCTTGCCAGCCTGCCCCTCAACTTGACTTTGCGTTTTCAGATCCCACACTAATCTGTTTTCCTTCCCCTCTTGCTGCCATATCCAAGTCAGGACCTTGAAACACGGAGCAAGACCACGAGAGTGAGAGTCCAAAGCTCAGTATGTCTGACAGGTGCTATTATAAGTTAAGCCACCTGACCTGTGGAGGGGAGTTTTATTCTCAAAGCTGAGACAGAAATATAGTTCCCGACCCTTCCTGCAGACACGAGGGCCATCCAGAGAGAAAACACAAATCCCGGGATGTCCTTCAGTGACATCAAGCCTGACAAAGACCCACCTCATCTGCCCCTTCCTCAGTCCAGATCCT